CGCCACCGGCCGGGGCTTCCCTCCGGGCGTCGGGCTTACCCTGGTTTCTCCCGTGCCACGCAGGTTCCTGGCATTTGAAGTCAAAGAGTTTTCATCGCTGGACGAGTTGCGGAAGGAGTTTGAAACCGCCGGACTGGAGGCCCTGTTCCCCGAGTGCGTCCTCGGGCTGGTGAAGTGAAACGGGAGACGGGTTTTTTGTTGTTGTTGTTAAACAGCTGCGTTTGTTCATTTCTGTTGTTGGATTTGCATTGGATTTTGGGGGTGGACAACTGGAAGAACTCATAAAGGAATGATTTTAAAGTGTCTGTGAGGCAAAATGGGAGATACCATCCTGCCTTCAGGAACAAAAGCCGATTCTGTTCGTGGAATATTACACAGTAAACACACCCATGTTGTTCTTTTTTTTTTTTTTTAAATAATATGTTTTTATTAATTTCAGAGAGGAAGAGAGAGGGAGAGAGAGAGAAAAAAACATCCGTGATTAAAGAGAATCATGGATCGGCTGCCTCCTGCACGCCCCCCACTGGGGATCAAGCCCGCAACCCCGGCCTGTGCCCTGACCGGGAACCGAACCCTGACCTCCTGGTTCACAGGTCGACACTCAACCATTGAGCCCCGCCAGCCGGGCTGTGTGCTAATTTGTGACAGTAAAGGCTGGGTTCAGGGGATGGGACATTCTTTGGGAGACGACGATGAGCAGACGATGTAAACGAGCCCTGAGCTCACAGAGAGGGTGTGTTTGCCGCCGGCAACGTTCTTGTGATGAAATGATGTTTGAAAAGAAATGTGTTTCGTTGTTTCCTTTTCTCATGTTTACATTGTCAGCATTTGCTCATGATTTCCCCCGTTTACCTCATTATGTCTGATGTTCCAAGGTGAGCGGTAAGAACACGTCACACGGACTCCTTTGCTGCGTTGCCTCCGTCGTGAGGTTAAACACCAACCAGACTCGTGGGATTGAGTTACGGTAGCTTCTGTGAGGCCCAGACCGTCGCGGCACTTGCTAGCCAACGTAGGACTAGACCAGTGATGGCGAACCTTTTGAGCTCGGCGTGTCAGCATTTTGAAAAACCCTAACTTAACTCTGGTGCCGTGTCACATATAGAAATTTTTTGATATTTGCAACCATAGTAAAACAAAGATTTATATTTTTGATATTTATTTTATATATTTAAATTCCATTTAACAAAGAAAAATCAACCAAAAAAATGAGTTCGTGTGTCAGGTTTGCCATCACTGGACTAGACAGTCCTTTGAGATAAAAAGTGTTTTGTCCTTTCGGCTCATAAAGCCTCAGTCAGTTTGCTTTACCCCCCCCCCTTTTTTTTTTTTTACTAAATTGCTTTTTCCCCAACAATCAGGATCGTAGGTCTCAGCTTCTTAGGTCACTGAAGGGGTGTTGCTTTACTCCTCGCCCCTTGGTGCAGCCTAGGTTTCCCAGAGAAGCAGCCAACAGGATATGCATTTATTTCCGCTAAGGAATTGGCGTTAGTGGCGATGGAGGCCGGCACATCCCAGACTTCAGAGTGGGCGGGCGGCTGGAGACGGGGGAACGGGGCTGCCCCGGAGGCCGGAGGGCCCTGCGCTGGCAGAGTGCCTCTCGCTTGCCGGAGATCGGCCTCTGGTTCTGGTCACGCCTTCCACTGATTGGACGAGGCCCACCCCCACGGGGAGGGCAATCTGCTTTCCTCCAAGTCCACTGACTGACATGTGCATCTCACCCAGAGCGCCCTCCCGGGAGCATCCGGAAGGATGTGAGACCACGTGTGGCCCGGCCGAGTGGACACAAAGGTCGCCGTCATCTCTCAGGACACGTCCCGCCTGCAGGGTCACCGTTAGGGGTGAGGCGTGTGCCTGGCAGGTCGCAGCTGCCGCAGCCCCGGGGCCCGTCCTCCCAGGCTCCGCCTGCAGAACAGCAAACGCCACAGGAACGCGGTGGCACCGGGAAGAAAGCACCGCTTCTGAACACTCGGCGGCTTGACAAACGGCGGTTGCTGTGGCCCGTGAGGCTTCTCTCGAGTCGGACGGGCCGCAGCGATAGATCGTGCAAGAAGGTTATGTTCCCGCTGGCGCAGGAGGGGAAACATGGGCCCGAGGACATATATTGATTTCTTCCTTTTTTTTTTTAAAGTGAACTCCCTTGCTTTGGGGCATCTTTCCAGAGCCCTACGCTGGCGTTTTCTCAGCTCAGTGTTGGCAAGTGACACCCCGAAGTGAGGCCAGGAGGGGGTTCTGGAATGGTGCTCCCTCCGAGGTGAACCCCAGCTGTGCCCTTGGAGGTGTCGGCCCACCCGCTAGCCTCAGCGCTGGACCGTCGGTGCACGTGCGGACGCGCTGCTGCAAAGAGCTGCTGCTTCCCCACCG